TCTCCACATTGTTGGAGCACAACAGGGACAGCAGACGTGGAGCAGCAGACACGGAGGAGGTGCAGTGGAGATCAGTATATAATACGGGCATGGGTGTAAGCAAACCAGAGCTGACACTCAAGCGCAAGCTGGTTGCTTCACTGACAGGTTGAGAAATGCTTTGCTACAGCAAGACAATCAGTGTTATAATAAGTTAGAATTCCTTCAGTGGAATTCAGTGGTCAGTTAGTGGCCACCTGAGTCCTATGAACAAAGTTTGGGAGGCATTGGAGAAGAGTGGGCAGGTGGATCATGTAGAGAGCTTGAAGGTGGCAACAGTGAGTTGAGTCCAGATCACAACACACTGATCATTAAACCAACAAATCTGGCAGGACCATCTTATATAAGAATATTTCAGGTCATCTTTAAAACAAAGTGCAATGACCAACTGCAAGAAGAGCAGTTAAAAACCCACAGCAGACAGTGGTAAGAACCCCTGGTAGTCCCACAGGGAGAATGCAGAACAATGCCTACAAACTGGCATCTCAAGGTTGACCTATGCATGTCTGTGGCTGTTTGGGGAGACCGGGGAAAAAGGATGTTTCTCTGACATCTAGTTAGGCGGAAGGTTGGCAGAAGTACTGGCAGGTCCTTCCATTTCTGAGCAGCTGACTATTCTTGCTGTTCCTGTCTCACACTTACTGAAGTGCGACAGTGGATTCAAATGTTACTGCTGGGAATGAACGAATGAACGGGCACATATGCACATGCAACATATAATGTGACCCTCCTTCCCTTACAAATTCAGCCTAAAAAAACCTCAACACAACCCTTCATTTTATGTGGTTACTTCTGCAACCTGGGCAGCTGTTCTGCACCAGAGGAGGAGGTTGAGGGGAGAAAGAGAAGGCACGGGGCTCTTCCCGTATCTCAGTAAGAAAGGCCCAGCAACCAATACCTTAATGACTGCTTTAATAAGAAAATATAAAAGAAGGAATACAGACAAGTAAATTGTACATCCCTTCAGGTGCTGGGCACCCCACATTCATGTAGCATCGGACAGAGCCCAGATGGATTTTCCCACGGCGTGGTGCACAGAGCAGATGCAACCCTGTCTGTGGAGAGCAGCTCCGCCTCTTCATCACTTGAGCTATTTTACAACTTCCTCACGAGAAAACAACCCTCGTCCTAAAGGATGTTCTCATGGGAACTTACTACTTTGTTAGATAAAGGCAAGGCCAGGCAGGTGGTGCAATCGCAGTGCCAAGTGGGAGCTGCCCGTGAGCTCTGCCATTGTGACAAGCTGGTGGAGGTGTCCTGTAGCCAAGAGCTCCGTGCGGCCCAACGGAGACCTGAAAGCCACACTGGGCATGCAGCCCAGCCCAGGCCAAAGCTGCTGTGTGGATCACTGACTCCTAAACATCCAAGGGTCCCTCAGTCAGGAGCAATACAGCGGCTCAGGAAAAGCCTTCTCCCATCCGATTTCTCAGCCTTGGAGAACAGTTTGGCACAGGAACCTGGACTTTGAAACTGCTGGCTCCACAGGCTGTTTGCATTCAAAACCAACATGGGGCTGGAGCTGGCATGGGCATGGGTTGGCACATTAAAGGTCAGGCATTGCTTTGGTACCATCAGTCAAACATTCAAAGGTGGTCATTTTGCAAACGCTTCCATGCTTTCCTGACTACCATGAACAATGCAGCCAAAACCTGCAGCTGTGGGGCACAGCTGTTTTTTGGAGCTGGGTGGTAAGAGCCCTAGGACTTAATGGGCAAGTTGTACCCAGGGCTCTGGGTAGCTGTTTTGTATTGTAACATCGTGAAAAAGATAGAAAGAACTCAAATAATGTTCAGAGTGGTTTGCCTTGGATTCCCTTTGAACTAGGAAGCAGGTGGCAACAAATTGTAAAACTGAGAGGTCATATACCTTTAAAGCAAAACTTTCCTAGCATGCTCTGCTCCCTTTATATAGGGGCACTGCAGGGCACTCCAGGCTTTAGTAGTAACCTGGCTTCTGGCTGCTCCACCACTCTGTGAGTACTTACCTCCTTCCTTCAAACTTGCTTCCTCTGGTTTGCACAGGGTGTGCTGTGCTGCTGCTCCCAGCCAGGCTTTTGATTAAGATGTGGCTTAGTTTGGCTTTTCAAGTGCGAGAAACTTACAGTAGATGTGGGGATGTAGCAAATCCAGAGTTACTGCTCTTCACTTCTGTCTGTGAACTGACAGTATGGAAAGGGGTTGGGTAGTGGTTGAATGGCCTTGGTTTCATGAAGTGATCTCATCACATAAAAGCACAAACTATGTATGTGAATGCAGCTTTAGTCTTTGAAATTCAATTATTTTTGTTTGTTAGTTTTGGATTACTTAATTTTGCGTGCGTTCTTCTAAAACAAGTGATGGATAAGCACTTGTAAGTTGCTCAAGGAATGTTTCATTGTTGGTCCTGATCAAGATGAGCTTGATCCACAAGTAAAACTGTTTTATACACAGGTACTGGGACAACTGCATTAGGCTATGGTAAATGAGTAACATGAAGGACATGAGCATTAGTAGCTAATACTGTCTTCTCTGTGTGAAGATATATTGCGTTTGTAGGAGTGTATTTGTATCTCCCAATGGGATGAAGATCTTATAAATTAGGTTGAGTCATTTTTCAGCATCAAGAGTTTGTGAAATACACCATTCTACTTTGATGTTTACATACATATATAATGAGATGGCTCACCTTAAAACTTAAACATTGGATAGTGTTCCATGTGCTATTCTGAAAGCTGTCTGGCTGGTGTTTGATTTACTTGCAACTGGTATGCTGTCCTACAGAATATAGTAAGTCAAAACAATATAAAAGATAAGTAAAATAAATCAAAGATTGATGTTTTATCCAACTCAAAACAAACTATATCCAAACATTAGACTGCCTAAATGATGTCAAGCTTAAATGTCCACTTGACTTAAAATAGGAGCTGAAAATTGAATTAAAGGTGAAAAATCTTGTAAAATGTATATAAATGTCAGTGATTGTGGGGAATTAAATGTTTAATTTCTTTAGCTGCTTTTGAAATTTGAATGTGAATTACAACAGCTCATCTTTAATGCAAACTTTCCTGTCTACCTAGTATAGTAAATGGTGACTTCATGATCTAGAATACATTAAAAAGACCCTCAGCATGTGAACTACATAGTATCTTCTAAGGTCAGTGTTTAGCATGTGAATAGACCATCTGAAGTAGCAGCACACAACTGAAAAATGTTCTATAACTAAACTGGTAGAAGCAGAACTGCAGTTAAAGTTAGCAATGCAAACTCTTGAGATAAATCCAAGTCTGTGCAAAATGTGTTGCAATAGGTGCGTAAGTGGAGGAGGGGACAAAGGTAGAGAAGGAAGAGGGGAAAAACCTAACTCCATATTAAAATTTTAAAAAAATCCCACAAACTCCATTCAGTCTCTAGGAAGGAAAGCACATAGTAACCTGCCAGCTGCATCTAGATGACAAAACAAATGAGAAACTGCATGAGTCACTTGGAGGTACATCTTCCTTTTCCTTTTTTTTTCTCTCCAAAGAAGTCATTTACAGAAGAGCAAGTTGGTGATTTGTACTTACATCCTGGATCCTTTTCAACCCTTGTCAGAAAATGATAAATTATTGAAGGATATTATAAAGTAGCATCTCTATGTTCTGTAGTGGCTTCTGAAGTGTTTAATGCAGAAAGGTTAACTGCTGATTGCAAAATAACTTAGAATTATTCTTTGATCTTAAAAAAAAAAAATTAAAATTTGCAACCCACATTCTCTCCCTTGGATAACGGAAATGTTACTATTCCCTGCTTGCATTAGAGCTACTGGTACTTGGAAAGAATGGGCCAATGTTACATTCATTCACACAATTGTCTTGCATTAATCCATCCACAACTAGAAGTATTTTTTTTCCTGGGGGCACTATAAACTGCCCAAAGAATAAAGCAGGGCTTCAGAAAACTCATTTTAAAAAATTAGCTAAATAATCTCACCATGAGGTACATTCCCCTAACTTGTATCTTTGTCCTGAGGAACAAGAAAACACTCTTGAGTATCTGGATTTTAAGTACAGAACACTCAGATTAAGAAGTATCTGAATGTTTAGGTGATTTTTTTTAATTGGCTGACTGCATGTAAAAGGAGAAAAGATATTTTATAAATTGTTTTGAGTATCCATGTAAAACTGAGCTGGATTTACCCACTGGGCTCTGATTATCTGGCAGCATTGTTACAAAACATAAACAAGTTTGTTGCCTGCCCAGAGGTTCCTCCTCCCTAATACATACCCCATACAACAAACTTAATGTATCTGTTCTCATTTCTGGCTAGTACATAAAGAGAGAGACTATCTAGATGGTACTAGGTTGCAGGGGGGAAGTGGATGGGAGAAAGTGAACTGTCTGAAGAAGATACATATGGTATGTTTACAAAAGCTTTTAGATTCCTGATCTGTTTCAGAAGTAGCTTTAGAAATAAGTTAAAATTGCTTTTTATTGAAGAAGTCCGTTGCATTTGGTAGAGATGCAGGGGGAAAAAAGGTAACTGCAAGCTGAGGTAGGGTTGGGGGTACAGAGGCAGAAGGTGAAGCAGCTGCTAGCTGTGTTGGTGTACCAACTGAGAGCTTTTCACCTGTGACTGACTTCCTCAGCTGGCACAGAGCTTTCTTTTCACCCTTGGGGCTTTTCTTCCATTTGATTCAATTCGTTCCCCACCCCTAACTGTTGAAGTGTCATGGTTACATCCCTTGATTCAATCCCCAATTCAAGATTTTTAGGACTGCTAACTTTTTACCTGATGACTCTTACTAGATTGGCATTTAAAGCTGACCCTGTGTTTTCCAAAAGGCACAGGTCATTGTCACTGAATGACAATGCATTTCCCTTCCCAATATCAGATAAACTATTGTTCTGCCATCAATACAAGGCTGTGATTTGCAATTACTCCATGCCTGCTTACTTTCCAGTCAGTATTTCCCTAACAGTTAGGGTAATTAAACGAGCTGTTGCTTTAAATTAGTCTTGCGACACTATTACATGCTGCTTTTTTATTTTTTTTTCTGTACAGTGGAACAAAGCAATGCTTTGAAACAAAAACATTCAGGAAGTTTACACTGGTTTACATTTATTTAAAAAAAATATTTAAACACTTGTGTATTTCATCTGTGGAGTACTAACTACAAATCAAATAGGGCTCATGGCTTTGAAGAGGTTCACAAGTACAAAACAGCCTCCTTCTGGCATCTTCACATCCTCCTCTTCTGGGTGCTTATGTACAATACTGTGAAAAGAAAGCAGCACATGTAAGACGGCCCTGGTAAATAATGTGCAGAAGCCTGTTTATTTAAAACATCTTATTTCCATGGCTTGTAAAACAACAGTGTAATGAATCCCATTCAGCATGAACAGAGTCAGTAAACTTTTAAGTCCAGGTTTCAAGAAATGCTACCGAATTTGTCTTACGCATTACTTTAGTTTGGTATTTATTCTATTTGTAGCCAAACTACGCTCCAGCTGATGCAGGCTGAACAGAGGGAGAACAAAGCCAGCTACCCTGCGGTATTACTTGTGGGGAGAGTGAGAGTTTCTAAGCAGCAGAATTACAAGTGTCAGATACTAATGCCATGATCTTTCAACAAAAGCTGGAAATCACAATCACTTAACGCGAAGCTAACAATTACCTATGAAGCAGCAGACATCTTCCACCTGCTTGGCTGGTGATATCCCCAGAATGGATGCATGCACAACATGAAAACTGCATCATGCTCCCAAATCTGGGATGTCTAAGTTCTCTGCTCAGCCTCCTGCCTCTCATCCATTTGTTACAACTTTTATAATAGGTTCTTACTTCCGTAATTGATTCTCCAGCTGCAATGTCACTGCACGCCTTAGCATTATAATCCAAATTCCTTGCAAAAAGCACTTGGC